CGCCGCCCCCCCGCCCGCCCCGCCGGCTGCGTGCTGCCCCGGGGCCCCCGGCTCCTGGCTCCCAGCAGGCTCTGCTGGGCACGGGAATGGCAAAGCTCCGGGCCAGGAAGGGGGTGATCTTTTGGGAAGCGAGCTCATATGAACAACAGGGTTGCACTGAACGCACAGGGATTGGAAATTCATAACAGACTGGAGTTTATTTCAGTGTTACCTGTCCAGGGGTGTATTTTACAGTTAAACACTTCCTAAAACTACAATAAAGCTGTGGTGTTTGGTACGAGTAGGTCAGAAACTGGCACCGTTCCGAAGTTTGCGGTGCCGTACAAAAAAACAACGAGAGACAACAAGAGTGGTACTCCCCCAGCTCACCCCAAGCGCTTGCCTGAACTCCCTGCAGCACTGACACGAGGCTGATGGAGCTGCAGGAGACAAAAGCTTTGGAACATTAAACCATATTTGCTCTCACGAGAAGCCTTCCCATTTTTAAAACAAAAAAAAACGACAAACAAACAAAAAACTTTATAGGGAGATTTTCCAGAAAACTGTCACACGAAACACTTTAGCTCCTCCCTGGTGCCTGTTTGCTTGTTAAAAGTCAATCGAGTGTCCCTTTCTTTGCAGTTGTCACATGCACAGTTGGGTTCCATTCATCACGTCCAGAAATGTCAATGTGCCCGTGTGGAATCATGAACAGCAGGTTTCGAAGCTGGAGGTGCTCGTCTGCACTGTTGAATAGTCACAAACAAGGCAAGGTAGGATGAGACACCTGCTAAAGCAAGACTATGCTAAGGTACTGAGAGCGGAGGTGACATCCGTTTCTTTCCCTGGGGGGGTGTGTGGGGAAGAGTGGGGGTGATGGCCAAGGGCAAACCGAAATCCTAGGCTAGAAGCCGCTCGCGGGTCTTAGACAGAAGATTGCGCTCCGAAAGTCTCCTGAGAGGCGTAGACCATGTACAGGAACCCGTCCTCGTCCTTCTCGCTCTCGTACACCTCGGAGATGGGCGTGGAGACGCTCACCATGCTGTGTCCGTTCACCAGGAGGAAGAAGGCCTGGTTGGAGTTCAGCTGCAGGCGTCGCCTGTTGGGGGGAGGTTGGGGGGGAAGGAGTTTGACAGGGATGACTACGCGGTTCCACTCAGTCAACAAAGGCTTTAGGACAGACGGCAAAACAAAGGCCTCCGCCGCCGCCAGCAGCCAGACGCCCCCCACCCGAAGCAGCCCTGCCGCCGGACAAGGCACTGGCTGCCCACCTCGATGGTGTCAAAAATTCACCTTCTAAGCCCAGTCGGACCTATCCACAGCCCAAATCCTTCTTTCCCCGGACAAGCTACGCTCCAGAAGGGCGCTAAGCTGAAGTGAAAAGGAAGAGGCACTCCTTGCCAGGAGGATCCCTGTGCCACCAGCAGGCACATGAGGCCTGCGGGACCTCTGGCTGGCAGCTGAGCTCAAGAGCATCTCGCTGGGAACAGAAATCCAGGCTGACCTGGAGAGATACGCGGAGGGAGGACGGGCAGAGCTTCCAGGAGAAGACCCTGGACCTCTGAAAACTCCTCACTTTTGTCACCTGCTCTGTGACAGCCTGCGTTTAACCTTTGGAGCATCTCACCCCGCTCTTCTCCTCCCTCCCAGGAGCACTCAGAGACGTGGAGGTGCAACCCAAGGGAGAAGGAGAGAACAACAGAGCAGAGGAGCAGCAGCTGGAAACAAGGATTTCTTTAGCCTGCTGGCCCCAGCCCTGGAAAGAGAGCTTTCCAAAACCAAGCCCAAATCACTCCAGAGACAGCAGGCTGAGAGAAGGCAGGAGCTATCTGAGGGCTGGGAGGGACAGGCCTTGCTGTGCACAAGAGGAGCTGGCTGAGGACCAAGTCCAGCTGGTACCAAAAGTCATCTATTAACAATGAAGCCAAAGGAAATAAAAGGTGGGGAAAACCCTTCAACTTGCTGCTAACCTTTTTGCCCACGGCCTTTAGCGTTCATGAGAAATTCTGGAAGACTTGAGATATCTGGTTCCTGCTCCCAAACCCCTGTCGCGCTTTCTTACTCATCTAAGAGCTGGGATTTGCTTGCGACAGGTTTTCTCCAAGCCTTGGAGGCAGGGAATTGTTGGGGCAACTCTCAAGTTTTTACAGCTTGTGACCTCCACGAACCAGCTCCCCGCTACACCGTGACCAACGAAAAGCAAACGCTGCTTTGCTGCTAACTTCCAAGTTTACCACTAGAGAACTCTTTACTAATCAGATCTTCCTTCTAAGGCAGGAGAATTGCACTTCTAGTAGAATCTCTGGCCACGATTTTAGACCACACGACTTCCCCTCCATGGCTATTTCCCCTTTGCCTTTTGTAAGCAAAGCTGCAGCAGCGCAGAGGGCGGAACTCAAGCCACCGTCTGTGCAAACAGCTGGGACAAGACAACACCGGCCTGAACGAGTGTTTTTCAGGCCTCGACGCTGTCGTTGAGGGAAACCTCACTTCACGATTGAAGGATGCCAACATCAAGCCTAAGCAACAGCTCAGAGCTCTGGCTATGAGCCCAACCTCCCCCTGCAGCGGGTGGGAAGAGGCAGGCACGCCGGAGAGGGACTCCCAGGCAGAACACCCTAAAATAGCCAAGCAGGAAGCGCTGGAGCCCGCGGCCAGAAGCACCCATGTTAGAGAGAGATTCCCGGCCCCAGACTCCCTCCTACATCGCTGGGAACCAGTTAGTTCTCTGGAAAGCAGACTAACAGCTCGGCTCTCTTCAGAGCAAAGCCCAAGGAAAAGCACCTTCTGATGAATTTGTCCCAGTGATGACACCAAGAGCTCGTTCAGATGAATTTTCCATTTAAAGAGTTCCCAAACGCATTCACCAGGTGGGGAATTAAACAAGCAGAGCCTTAGGCTGATGCAGCTTAGCACTGCAGCCACAGCATACTACCTGATAATCTTGATTAGCTCGCTCATGTTGACATGATCTGGCACCAGGAACTTGGTCTTATCCAAAACTGGAAGCTGCTTCTCTCCCTTGTACCTTTCGATGATCACCTACGGAGAAACACAACAAGAAAGGAGGAGATGTGAAAGGCAGAAACGGTGCCCGGCGCCCTCGCCTCCCCCCTCCCTTTTAAACCCAGCAAAGGGCGAGCACCGACGCTCAGCCCCACTTCCCTTCGGGTGCGAACGCGGCATCTCCTGCAAAGGAAGAACCGGACTGATCTTCAGGGGCTCCTCGTGGTCCGTTTGCGAAGGGGTAACCCACAGCCTCAGCTGCGGGTTTAGACCAGTCCGTTTGCTGGGATCGTTTAATCTGGCACTGATTTACCCTGCAACAAGGCAACCCCAGAACAGATAAAGCACGCTTCCCTCTGACACACTCCAGTGGCTGACTAGGGGCTCGGGCTGCAAACTCAAGCAGCTTTCACTAGAATTTCTCCAGTTTCAGGCCATCTCTTCCTAAGGGCTACACCTCCAGATTAGTTCACCTCCTGTGATTACCCTAATGCATGCGAGAAAGCTACTTTTGAAGGCTCCACAGCCTCCACGGAGAGAATTTCCTCCTCCTTCATCTCGAGACAGCCTGCTTAAGACTCGGTGATTCTGTCACCGTCATGATGCAGTAACGACTCAATTCACGAGGAAAAGGCCGCTTTGCCGATGGCAGGAGCACCCTGCCCAGCCACGGTACATAGTTCCTGCTTTTAAGACGTGATCTCAGAATTCGGGCGCTCCCTTTTCCACAGCCACGTGGGGTTTGTTGGTTTTAAATCAACGGTAGCTACGTGACACCATTCACTTGGATCGTTTCCACGCTCACGGGGTCTGGCTGTGTTGACCTGCAGAAGCTGCGCAGGTGAGGAGATACTGAGCCAATTTAATTCCTTGCAGCAGGTTAAATAAACGCTGGCTCATTCTGGAAAAACACCACCCCTATTTTTAAAAAGGCAGGCCATAACCCACAGATAGTATTTCCCAAAATGAAAGATGTTGACAGCACAGGAGGGATTTACCACGTACCCTGACAGCGCCATCTTATCTCATCCCGAACTGCTAATGACACTAATGAGGCAGTGACTCAAGCTCCGGCTCGGCCAGGCAACCACAGCAAGCCTCCAGGGATCCCAGCAGGCCTCTGCCATAGCTGGGAGTTTGCATCACTGCCTCTTCAGCAAGTTGCTCAGGTACCCCTGGATTTTTGCTAGTAGGAAGTACATCCATGGCTGGCTTAAAACAAGAGCTTTGCTATAAATCAGGGGCTTTCAATCTGTGGTCACAGAGCTTGGGGATGATGGCTAAGTGCCGTGTGAAAGGTGGGTGAAAAGGCAGTCTTCTGTCAGGGAACAGATTTGGTAGGAAAGGGCCTTTTGGGAAAACTGCACATTGCAGAACAGTCAGAAAATCGCTGCTATATAATATTAGTTGTTCCCACGCCCAACGGCACTGCAAAACAGCAGCAGCAGCTTCGAGATGAAGCAGTTTAAAGCTCACAGAAAGCTGAAAACCTTTCGGTTTCTGTTTGACAGGGAGGCAACAACTGCCTCCGTTCATGAACTCGCACTGGAACTGCAGACAAAGGTTTGCAAGCGGTTTGTTCACAGAAGAATTTCCACTCTCAGGGACCATCACCTCAACCTCAAAGGTTGAGGCATCCAGCTCAGTCCTCTCTTCCACCCCCCAGGATCTCCTAAGCCCTTCCCTGTTCCCCCGAACGGCCGTAAGGTCGGTTGCCTTTATCGCTCACTGCGGCGGCAGCCTCACACCAAGCCCACCAGCTGCGAAGATCTCACCAGCCACACCACACGGTCCGTGCCTTTTCCTTCCTCGCGTGCTTTGCTTTGCATTTGTCACCTCGAGGATGCCATAAATAACAGAAACGAAAAACTCAGGCAGCATTTGGAGCTGACCAGCTGAAGGGGAGTGCCCAGGTGAGGGCTGAGCCCCGATTTGAGGTGGCCTGACAGCCAAGCAGCATTTCTGGAGATCTCAAGCCAAGGTCCGTTTCCCAGCAGGCAAGCGGGTCTGCCTTTCTCAGCACAGCTTGGTGATGAAGGCCACCTCTGTCCCTACATTACTGCGTATTCTTCTCGGTTAGCCGCTGCAGACTCTTCTTTCGGAGAAGAAAAACACCCAGATGAGAATTGCTGAACGCTCAGGAGACTCTGAGAGCTCACCTGGGGTACGGTTCTCTTTGAAGTTACAACACGCAACTTCTGTACGCAGGAAACCCCGTTTCCTCCGGTCCCCAGCTAGCACCTTGCTCTGCCAAGCTGCCTGCCCGTGACCAGCTTGAGAATGTTTCTAAAATCCAGGCTCAACGACCCTGAACGGCCACATTTTAATTTGGTCTCGTCGGGACGTTCCTTTTACGGGTTTCTCCCTACTAAAAAGAACATAAGACTGGAAATTGCAGTGAAAAGTGAAAAGAGCCGGACTTACTGGTATTTTAGTTGGATGCTGATCCCGAATGAGTCGCACATCTTCCACTCTTTGCTCTGCAAGAGATTAAAAACCAAAAAAAAGTCTGTTCAAACAGCCACACTTAACGCTGCTACTACCTTATTTCTCCGCCACTGAAGAGAGGGGCTGCACGTTAGTAAAAGCCACAAAGGCAAATCCAGGCAAAGCAGTTTTCAAAAGGGACGGCCCTGTCACAAGTGAAACCTCTCCTCTGACAGGTGACACTTTGCTCTTTAACCCGAGGTGACAAGCGCTGCCTGCACGCTGCCCGCGACTCCTAGAAAGCGCCGGAGGAGATCGCTTCCTCCCCGCCGCGCACCCCTGGTTTTCTGCGAAAAGAGATATTTAACCTCATAAATTCATGGCATCAGCTCACACCGCCCAAGTTAACGACTCCACGTCCTGTACTATTTCTGCGCGATCCCACAAGAGGAAGCTGCCAACCACGACTGGAGACCGAAGACAAGCCGAAGCCCGGCAGCATCAGCTTACGCAGCGCGCTCTCCTGTTCCCGAACGACAGCTTTCTGTTTTGATTACGCCACACCCGTCGTTGCAGAAACCGTCGGCAGGTCCTTGCGCACCTCGACATCTCGCCCCTCTCACAGGATAAAGTTCACCTCCCCTCAGACACAAATATTAATAGCTCAGATATTATAAACCAGGCTAAAGCACACGTCCAAGCCAAAGTAAACAGGCGCAGTTGCTTTTAGAGGCAGTTGCATCTGCTTATACCCTGCCTCCTTTCGGATTCGGTGAACTCAATTTTAACCTCTCCAGCTCTGCTCAGGGGGCCGGGGCTTTCCAGGCCGTCTTCATCTTATAAACACCTCCCAGAGAGAAGATTTAGCGTTGCATCACGGCTTTAAGAGACACCTACCTCGGGAGAGGTGCTGCTCACGGGAGAGCTTACATCAGCCCCCGCCAGCCCAGCTCGTTGCTGGTATGCTGATGCACAGGGGACACGTCCCGTCACTCAGCAGTAACGTCACCCAGCTCGCCATTAGTCCACATGAAGTTTGTGTGCACGAAATACACCCGAGCCCAGCAGGGAAATGCACCTCACGTGAATCACGGTTTGAAGCTGGAGGTGAATCAAGCAGAACTAAGGCAAGGAGTATGCAAAGCCTTCGCCCGACTGCCAGAGCGAGAACCTGAACGCCCTCCTGCCTCACATCCCACAGCCCCAGCCGCGCTCTCGCACGCCAGCATTAACACTTCAAGGGCAGAGATACCGGCGAATTAAAATACTTTTTAAGATTAACCAGAAACACAAGAGAGACGGGGAGGGAATGAGACCCAGCCGCCCACCTCGCAAGCCCAGCGAGGTTTGACCAACTTCTGTTTGTTCGCGGCGACGTTATTCAGCAGAACTCCCCGAGTAGAAGGAACATAAACAGGACAAATCATTGAGATTATTGTACACGGCGTGTTCAAAATCAGCCTTCAGTCAGCCACAGATAAACACTGCTCTCTGACGACATTAGTCGCAGTGGCAACTGCTTGGCTGCCATCCTAGCTGAACTTAATACCTGCAACAGAGGCTGCTGACAGGCGATGGGGTCAACAACAGTTTTGGAAGACTCCAGGAAAAGGGGCAGCTCAAGCGCAGGCTTTGTTAGAGCAAAATTCTCTCCACTTCAATGCGGAGAACAGCTTACGTTTAACAGAGCAGCACGGGGAAGGGTGGGCACGCCAGAAAGCTCTCTTAAGCAGCTTGACTTGAACCCAAAGGCAGAAGGAAAAGAAAAGCTGGATCAATTACTTCCACCAATTCCATTTTACGTACAGGGTTTTGTCGTTCACGCAAAAATAGGTTACGCTGCCAGTTCCTGTTACCCTCGGAGCGTTTCAGCCTCCCTCACCGACAGACGTGAGCAGATACTGAGCTCTTTGATTGCTTTGGTCCCAGCCTAGGCACAGAAAGAAGCGCTGGCACCGCTCTATCAAGGCTGTTCCTTCTAGAAAAGAGACTAATCTCATTCCCCCAGCCATCATTACACAGCTCTTTTCGATGCCTTGCTAGTTTTCAGCAACCAAACGAAGGCAGGAGGCACACATCCCAGTCCACTCGCAGCTCCCCAGGGTAGAGAATTCCCCGCACCGTGCCAAGCACCAAACTGCAAGCGGAGCTTAAATGCTCCTGTCAATAGCGCAGGCGAAGCTGGACACTGAGCACCCCCATGGGCAGGGCAGGGCAGGCCCAGCTCCTGGCACACGACGCCCGGTGATGTTTCCAGGCTCCTGGGAATTTTGCCGTCGATAATGGATGCTGTGGAAAGATGATCTCCCCACCCCAAGCCCCTCATCCCGACGCAGCTCAGACCTCACCCTGGCGCAGCACCTCCACACCTCGCTCACCGCCCCC